GGAAGGAAGGAAGGAAGGAAGGAAGGAAGGAAGGAAGGAAGGAAGGAAGGAGAAAGAAAGAAGGAAAGATAGAAGGAAAGATAGAAGAGTGTAAGAAAGAGGAAACTACACAAAGTCACTGCTCAGTGGTGAAGGCAGGATGGGAAAGCCCGGTCTGGTCAGAAGGCTGCCCCCAGAAAGCCTATACCTGTGTTCTCAACGTGGATTTAAGATATTCTTTTTAAACAGTTTTCTTATTTTAAAGATGTGGGAGGCTGTGGGTTGGACAAGGCTGCCGATGAGGAATGTGCAGCATTAGGGGAATACTTTACATTTTACAGGTAAAGTTTGGACCTCACTTTGATCTCCACTTCACTTTGGTACCTGCTTTGACAGCTCAGAGCAGAACACGCAGAAAGAGGGGAGAGGAAAAAGAAGAGGAAAAACCTCGAAATTTTCAGATTATGCTGCTGCCCAGTTACCCCAGTATCATCGGTTAACCAAACCTGACATAGAAATAGAAGAAAGACTAAGAGAAAACCTGACATAGAAATAGATGAAAGAATAAGAGAAAACTAAATTGATAAACGAAACAAGTATAGCCAGAGATGTCCATATAATTATGATGCATATATCAAGTACATTAATAAAAGAAATGCTAAATTCAACCCAAAGGGAGAAAGTTTCTATGGGAAATTAACAACTGAAACTAAATAAAAGTTGGAAAGATAGACAGTGGTCTAATATCCTTTAAGAACAGTTTTGACTGCCAAATTGTACCAGTAAACCAGGACATTGTCAATACATTTTCTTTTATAATTTGTAAATAAATAAATAAAGACATGGAGTACAGTTCAGGATTAGGTATACAAATGGTCGTTTTACAGGTAAAATTTGGACCTTACTTTGGTCTCCACTTCACTTTGGTACCTGGTTTAATATCAGGTACACTTATTGATGAAGTGTGCCCCCCCCCCCAGCAGTTTCCCACTACTGCCAATCCCTTTCTTATAGTATTGTTCATGGTCTGCTTGTGAGTGAGAATACGTGGTACTCAGTTCTTTGTTTCTGTGATAGTTCACTGAGTATGATAGACTAAATCCATTCAAGTTGCTGCGAAGTGGGTTTAAGGTTTTCAAGGCCTTCGTGCAGTCTGTCCTGTTTCTTGCCAAGATGTTTTTTGCCTGACACGTTTCCATCAGGAGACCTGCGCAGAGAAGAATCAGCTAGCCAGACTGTCAATTTCTGTTAAAAAATTTGGCCTAAATTGGAATTTCTCAAACTTAAGTCATTCCTATGTTGTTTTCACAACTATGGGCCATGTCTCCTTTTCACCTCCATAGCTTCATGCCTGACAGTTTTCTTCAAATTCTTAACATTTCTCTAAATTTATTCACTTATTTACTTCACTTTTTAAAATGCAATTTAAAAGAAAAATGTTACTATTGTAAGTGAAAATGTCATATAATTTTCAATAAATAGCCAGTAACTGTAAAAATAAATGCACTTTTTAAAAAGCCATTGAATTGCCATATACTATTGCCTACCAAAGACTCTGAATCCAAGACTTTCCCTTTCTTTGTTTTTGTTTTGTTTAAAGAAAAAGGGGGAAAGTAGCAACTATTTGACATTTTTAAGACCAACTTAGCACCCAGCTGAGCCTTTCTACTTGATGTGCTCAGAAGATTGGAAAGATAATTAAAATGGGAAACCTTTTGCTAAGTATACAATTCATCTAATGCAAATGTGAAACATAAATCATCTTTTTCCACCAACAGTAAGCATCCCACACTTGGTGAACAGGGAATAATATGAAATCTAAGATTCGTTCCAGCACAAACTTTCTCTGAGTCATTAAGACACTCTGGAAAGGGTTTAAGTAGGGAGAGGCAGAGATTTCATTTTATAAAATGAGGGAGTCTTTGATAGATTATGGTCACCCATGTGATTGCTTATACTCATACCATTCGCAGCAACTTGAATGGATTTAGTCTATCATACTCTTTGGAGAAATTATAACTTTTCAGTGGAAAATCTCATAGATACCACCTTAACTACATGGTCAAAGTTAACATCACCAATACTCAGACAAATTGTCATACAGTACCTGTGGTTACAATGCATTGAAGAGGACACAGCAATTCTCTGGAATTCCTGCCCAAAATGCATTACTTTACTCTTATCATGAGGAAACATCAGAGCAAACAAAATTGAGGAAATTCTACAAAATGACTGTTAAGGTCAAGAAAGAAAAAGATAGACTGAATACTCCAGATTAAAGGAGACTAAAGAGACTGAACAATTAAATGCACTGAGTGACTCTGGATCCTACACCAAAAAAATATTTAGTTACACAGAACATCGCTGGGACATTGGAACAATGGATGAACTCTGAGGAGGGATTGTGATTCAGATAATAGCATTATATCAATGTTAAGTTTCTTAACTTTGATCATTGTATTGTGGTTATGTAAGAGAATGTCCCTGTTCTTAGGAAAAGCATACTGATTTATTTCAGTATAAAGGGGCATGATCTGTAGTCGACTCTCAAATAGCTTAAAAACAAACAAACAAAAAACCTATGTAAGTATAAATATGTGTGTGTGTGTGTGTGTGTGTGTGTGTGTGTTTGGATACACAGATCAATAAAGAATGATAAAGTCAGCCGAGCACAGTGGCTCATGCCTATAGTCCCAGGACTTTGGGATGCCAAAGTGAGAAGATTGCCTAAGCAATGGATTCAAGACCAGTCTGGGCAACTTGGCGAGACCTCATCTCTACAACAAATCAAAAAATTAGCCCGACATGGTGGCGTGTGCCTGAAGTTCCAGCTACTTGGAAGGCTGAGGTGAAAGGATCGCCTGAGCCCAGCAGATCAATGCTGCGGTGGCCGTCAGCGTGCCACTGCCTGCACTCCAGCCTGGGCAACAGAGTGAGACTCTAACTCCAAAAAAAAGAATGATAAAGCCAATGAGGAAAATATTAATTCTAGGTAGAGGGACTCTTTGTGGGGCATTCCTTGTATGATTCTTGCAATTTCTCCATAAAGTTTGATTTTTTTTTAAGTCAGTCTCACTCTGTCACTCAGGCTGGAGTGCAGTGGCATACTTATGACCTCCGCAGCCTCAGCCTGCTGGATTCAGGTATTCCTCTCTGCCTCAACCTTCCAAGTAGCAGACACTACAGGTGCACACCACCATACCTGTCTATTTTTTTTTAATTGTAAAGATGAAGTTGCACCAAGTTACCCAGGCTTGTCTTGAACCCTTAAGCTCAGACAATCCTCTCGCCTCCATCTCCCAGAGTGCTGGAATTACAGGCTTGAGCCACCACACCCAGCCAAAGTTTTAAATTATTACAAAATTAAAAGTATCCTTTGTTTCCTACAGTCCAAGCCAGGCTTTAAAATGTTCCAGGATATAGGTGAAAATTGCAGAAGTATTTGGCTCCACTTTTGTTTAGAGACCCTCAATTTCATTTCTGGTTTCACTCCTAGTCTCATCTCTATCTTTCTCTCAAGATGGAACAGAGCCCCCATCATTGTTACCCACCCTTCAACTCCCTCTGTTCCCAAGTTTTCCTGTCCTACCTAAATGGCTCTTCTTGTTTCATTTGGAGGATTTTCCCAGTTCCTTGAGCCAAACTTACAGGGGTTGTCCTTTTGCTACTTAAAAAAGAATCCCAGCTCTACGTTTGACAACTTGTCTCTTAGTGCCAAGAGTGTATGCCAAGTTCTCCCACTTAAGTGGCTAGAAAGCTTCCTGAGGGATAGCCACCTTTCTATCATGTCCAGGGCCCTCTTTGCCAGTTCTGGAGCACAGGCCCTTGGAGGTGAAGTTCACTCTTCCTAGGACTCATGTCTACCCTGGGTCACCAGCCCTTCCTTCTGTCTATGCTTGTGAGTCATTTATTTGAGATCTTCAAGGACTCTGACCTCCATTCACAGTGTCCAAAACCCTAACAGTTTCTTCTAAGGACCAAGCACCTCTTATGCAAATAGGGCTTCTAGTGTCCTCACTTGATAGTCCGGAATCCTTGTGAGGTTCTCAGTTTAATCTCTCCCATCCCTTTTGCTAGGAAGACAACAGAACTGTTTGCAAATTAAGTGATGATACAGAGAGGAGCAAGTAAAGTTCATGAGTGCAAGCAAATTTCTCGTTTGGTCGTGGCAAGAATTGAGGTTAAAG